TCGGAGCATTTTGGGACCGCGGTTTCTGGAACCACGACATACTCACTCGTAATCGCAGTATTCGATATCGCCGTATACTCACTGAAAATGGCGGTATTAAATAGCGCGACATCCACCGGTTTTGAACATCGCAGGAGGCTCACTGTCCACGGCAAAATTGTTTTGAAGAAACCGCTGAAAACCGCGGTTTTTCTAAGCTCATTGCCATATTACTCGAGGAAACCGCGGCTTTTTTGCACCGCGCTTTATGAGAACGACGGTGTGGAATACCGCAGTAACTACCGGTTTCGAATACCGTGGTGTCCTCATAGATAACCGCAGCGTGGGATACCGTGATGTCTAATGGCTTTATAAACAGCGAAGAAATTTGATTGTTCTATCAGACGAAATGTCAGTAATGCCGAGTCCAACTTCTCAATTACTATTTTTCTATTCATTCGGATTTGTGATAGATTGTGGGTGGTGTATTGGAATAGAAAAAGTCTATACCCGCAGAAAAAATTGTCCAGAAAAACCGTTGAAAGTCATATTTTTCTTCATTCCACAGCAGTCTTACTCGAAGAAACCGCGGTTTCGCTTTGATAACCGCCGTTTATAGTGGGTTCTTTTGGACTGTGATTTTCACAAACCGGTGGATGTCGCGCTATTTAATACCGCCATTTTCAGTGAGTATACGGCGATATCGAATACTGCGATTACGAGTGAGTATGTCGTGGTTCCAGAAACCGCGGTCCAAAAATGCTCCGATAAGCCACGGTTATCAAAACGAAACCGTGGTCCTCCAGAGTAACAACGCAGCCGAATTAAAAAAACGGGGTTTACAGAGGTTTTTCTGGAACAGTTTTTCTGTGGGTACACCCCGTACCCACATCCCACACTCAATCCACATTCGCACACCCACACCCTTAAGTCCATGACATGATATGCATATCGTCTTCAACAAAAAAACTTCTGACAGTTTTCATTCGAGATTCATTGAAATAACCGTGAATGCTTCTATAAACAAAAAAAGCTGCCAGCGCGATTCCTGCAGAATTAACATGTAAAACTCGATGATACTGTTGTTACTAATCACAAGAATATTGTTTGCTTCGATGTACTTTCGAACATGTTTTCAATGAAACTTTTCTGAACCCTCTAGAACTTTAATAAAGACTCAGTGTCTATATTACCCCTGAAATGCTGTTGATATATGATCTCTAATCTTCTATCGAAAAACATCTTGAGGATGGATATGGGTGAGAGTGTTTGGGTACGGATAGCTGTAGGTTTGGATATGACTGTTGGTGTGGATGGTTTTGAGTGTGGTTTTTGATTTTCAGTTCAAGTCCACAGTGACAGCCGCACCCTACTATTGTGGATATGAACAAAGATTTAAGTATGATGGATGCTGATACAATACAAGATCGCCACTCGAAGTATGAATATAATGGTTTTCAACTTACACGCAAAGTCGTATACGTGAGAAAACAGAATACTGAGTGATGAATTGTTACCCACCGATTCGACTCTATCAGTATTAACCAGTTTGAAGTTTTACAGTTTTTTTTCAAGAAAAAAACTATCCAAAATTTTCATACTGGAGTATTATCTCCAAAATATCTTGATGTAACAGCAATAGTCCAACGTTAGATCTTGTGCGTTTTTCAGCGTTCAAGTGACGCAAATGACCCAGTCATTCTAGAAACTTGAAAACAATTGCATACACAGTAGCACTATTGATTATCAAAATTGGGTTTTTCTTTTTAGCCATTAGAAATAGGACATAGGAACTTCGAAATAGGCTTTGCCGTGCGCTAGCTGTCAATCAAAGTTCTTCTCAAAGAAACAACGCGAAAAAATTAATTTATCCTAATGGAAATAGAAACAAGTGATAGATTCTACACTATGAAATGAAACAGAATAATAGATTTTTCAGTTATTTTGACTCTCTCATATACATTCTCAAGTTTCCTGGGTGTGGGTGTGAGTCGCACACCCATAAACGCCTTGACATGCGATAACCTCAAGATTGACTTTTGTATTGTTCAGAATTCATTTATTTTAGCTTCAATTCTTGTCGACTTGGATTCAGATTAAAAGTATTGTTTGCGTGTCCTGCACTTGAAAAATTAGCGATTTTCTATGAACAATTGTGGAAATTGTGAATCAATGGTTTCTGGTTTTTTTCGCTGGTGTTTTCTGATGTTCAAGCACCCACAAAAGATAAGAAAATTGTCAATTTTTCGTTTCTATAACTATTCATGGAATATCGCTAGTTTCTTCGAATGCAGCGTGCTTTACCATAACTGTCAATTTGACATTCGTTCGAAAAACTTCGAAGTGAAAAAGACTAAGTTTTGGACAACAGAAAAATCCAATTTTTCCTTATAAAACGTGATATAGGTGTCATGATCACTATCTCAAATAAATTATGCATATCTCACATTTCGCTATAGCTAGAGAGGTAAAGTTTTTGTCATACGTGCTCTTAGGAAGTCTTGAACCATCCTACAAATGTTGGATCACTAATGCAAAAGATTCTGTATATCGTAATATGTTTCTGATAAACATATCTGGATGAGAAATACATTGTATACCTTGGTTTTAGCACCAATGTTATTTACCAAGTAGACACGACAGTTTCATATATATATCTGGACAACAGTCGTTTAGTCCTGACTCGATCAGTATGAAAGCAAATAAAACAAAAAAACAACGTAATTATGCGAAAATTTCATGGTTTATCTTTCAGATCCCAGTTGAAATTTTTGACATGTGAAGTCAGAATGATTGTTTTTGATGTCATCACATCGAGTTGCAAAATAAAAATCGCACACATTATACGAAAAAACCTGTGATAAGAGCTAAATATAGATGAAGACAATCGAAATCTCAATGATATCGTATGATTTTCATGAAAATTAAGACATTTTAGATAGTTTGGAGTGTGGATGTGAGTAAAATTATTATCTACCCCTACATCCTTATATCCATATTATTTATAAAATACATAATTATCCTAGTCTTGTTAGAATTATTTTCTATATCAAAAGCTATGTTTCCTATTTATTTAAAATAAATCATTATTATATGTAAAACATAAAAATAAAACAAGTCCTAAACAATTAAATTTTTACCACCATAAATATAAATCACGATTAATAAATTTACTGCGGTAATCATGAAGTAAATTTTCTGATTTGATTAAAACATTTAATTTTTTTAAATATATTTTTGGTATTCGTAAAATACATAAAAAGAATAAATGTTGTGTTTTATCATTAGTTTTTAATAATAAAAATCGAATTATTGATTGTATTTCTTTTCTATTCATTCCAATTTTAAGATATTCTAATTGTGGAAATAAATTCATAACCAATTGAATTTCATTCAATGAACACCAAACACAAAAATCGAGAATTTTTATTTTATTTCTTTTTGATACATATTGAAAAACTTCATTTTGTTTAATTACATTTAAATTAATATCGCTGAATGATACATGATCCAATTTAAATGCATATAAATTAGGTGTCAAACGTAACAATTGAAAAATTTCGACGAATGAAAACTTATAACATTCAATAACTAGTTTTGTAAGTTGTTTTAAAGGAATCATACGATGAAGAGTTGTTGGAATTGAATCATCTGATGTTTCAAAATGATGTTTAATAGTTAATTGATTAACATTTGGAAAATAAATTAGATAATTATCTTTTATTTCTTCACTACAAATATAAAGATGTTTAACTAATTGATAATTTTCTTTTTGTATTTGTGAACAAATTAATTCATTTGATTCCCAATAATACATATAATCTTTTCGTCTAAAATAGAATAAGAACAATTTTCTATNTTTTCTATTCGTAATGATATTAATTGCAGCGAATAATGTAATAGCAGAATCAGCTGACAATTTGGCGTTTTCATTATATAAGAGAAAAAACTTAGGACCGTAAAGAAACTATATTCTGAAACTAATAGGATTTAAATAAGATCTTCGATTTGAATCAATAGACTTATACTGCATATGGGGTTATTCATCATCCTGAATTCAACGGTATTTTAGTTTCACAATCAGTCTTCATGCTATAAAAAAGACACTATTTATGCAAGAATTATCTAAAACTAATGTCCGCGCCAGAATAAAAGAGGGGTGAGTGTAAGCTCAATAACTC